TCGTTGTCCTTGTTTTTCCCTCGGTCCCAGTTGAAGCCACGAGAAGTTTTCCTTGAGAAACCTAAGGGCTTCAGGACTTGGCCCATGATTTGGATAAGCAGAGTATATGTCTACAATATTTAATTTAGTTTAGTTGTTGCATTAAGTACAAAAGCTACAATGTTAAGCATGATTGTAAATAGAGAATTAAAGGAGAAGCACAGATACTCCTGCACTCTGTAGATTCTAGATTTCTAACATGCCAGACTGTACCTTTCAGTAGGGGCAAGTGTCGGAAAGATTGGGCTTCGTTGTGCCATTTTCTTTTCAATAATTTATGTCTGTTGAGAAAATACACATTAAATTATTTAACAGTTGTTTATATCTGGCACTGAAATGACTTTGTGTATCTGTTTAAAGTGAACCTTAAGATTATGCTAACAACTCTGACATTGGAAGACATTTTATATATTGCCCATGATTTTGCTTTCAGACTACTTGCATCCAAAATTTGATATAACACAACAAAACAGGGTGGAGAATTAGATGACTAAAAACAACTAAAAAGCTTTTTCAAGTGAATGCAGCACGCATGAAAGCTGCTAGATTGACAAGCCTGGAGGCTGTAGTTCTCTGTTTATCCACAGAACTAATAATAGTAAAGCCTCTCTCTCATATAGCACTTTTCATCAGTCGACCTCAAAGCACTTTACAGTCTCTAACGTGTTTAGCCTCACAACCCTGTTCTGAAATAGGGAAGCATTATTACCCCAATTTTTTACAGTTGGGGAATTGAGGCACAGTGAGACTAAATGCTTTGTCCAGAGTCACACAAGAGGTCGGTTCTTGGTGGAGCAAGGAATTGAATCTGGCTCCCCATGTCTTAAGCCAGTGACCTCATCACTGGACCATCCTTCCTCCCAGAACAGGGTTGGCACAGGCAGTGGCAAAGTGAACTTCTTAACACCAGTCCGCAAACAGGACCACCACTAGGGGTGAGAGGATATTATTATGTCAGGGCTTAGGCCAGGTGAAATTTGCCCCGTGAAAGGCCTATAAGGAACTCAAGTGGTTCAGAAGCCTGGCGTTTGTCTTCTGCACAGGGATGAATTTGACATTCAGTTCTTGGCCTCTCTCATGAGAGAGAAAAGTGTCAGTTAGTGCCTCGGGTGGCTTTGTGATGTGGACATAAAAGCTTGTTGGAAATTTTCCAACGGAACATTTTTCTGTCAGAAAATGCTGATTCGTTGAAAACTACATCTTTCATGGAAATATGTTGATTTTGGTGGAATTCTCTTTCAGGAGAAGACTGGAACAGAGTATCCTGATAAGGCTGACGTGTTCCATTTTGATCTTTTCAGAATGGAATGTTTTGTTTCCAAACAGCTTTTCAGGGTTTTAAAAAATGTTATGTAATATAATACAATTTTTTAAGACGTTGAAATCAGAATGAAACATTTGTATTTTATTTAATTTTTTTTTATTTCATGTCATGGGAAATTTCAATTGTTTTGGTTTTGTTGTGTCTCAGAACAGAAAAAAAATCTAAATTATGGAATATCCCATGAAACAGAAAATCTGGTTCCCACCCAGCTCTAGCAGATACCTCTCTACTGTGAACTGGACTGAGACTCACCAAAGTATTTCATACAGGTCACCACAAAGCCACAAGATGATAACTTTCAGCCATTATTGACCTAGTGAGCACAGTGGCAATTATCTATACTACTCCTATTTCCCATTCTAAGTATTGGTAAATTTGGTGGCATCTCAAATATTACTATATGGTACCCAAGGGTAAATATAAATTGTGTAACAGTGACCACACAGTGATGTGAAGTTGAATGACTTTGCAACTCATTATCAATCCTCCTGGCACTGAGGCTGCATGTCTTTGATATTTTTCAAGTATCTACCAGTATGGGAGAAGAATTTGCAACACAAGGATTGTTTGGTAGTTTGCCTCAAAAATGTTCAGATCATAATTAATATTAATTGTGCTATTTTAAAATTTTAGTTTAGTGGGAAATATTCACAAATACATTTCAATTAGAGTGACTCCAGCACGTGTAGTCACAACTGGAGTAGCTTTGATCTAGCTAGATCAAATAACAATATCACTGAAGCCAAGGAAGCAGCATTCGGACTAGACACTCAAGTACATAACCCAGGGTCTGTGCTGCTGCCCCAGCTGCTGCAGCTTCACAGTTATTGTTATTCAAGCTAGCCCTAGTAGCCATTTGTCTAATTTTAGAAATTAACTAAATTGCTCAGGTGATGTACACACCACACTTTGTCAGGACAGTCAGCAGGATCTGCTTACATCAGATTCCATGCAGACCACTCCCATTTGGCGTAAACTATACTCAAACTATGGCCTTGCTTTTCATTGCAGATAAAAAGATGGATGCATGAACTGGTTTAGATTTTTTACAAATATATTATTGGGACTATGGGAGATTTTCAAAAAACACAAAGGGCAGTTAGGCATACAAATCCCACCGACAATGAATGGACGTTAGGCACCTAATTCCCATTTATGCCTTTGAAAATTTTCCCCATTATTATTGCTCTCTATTATGAATAGTCCCATTAATTTCAACAGTACATGTTTGCAGGATTGGGCCTGTGGCCTAGCTCGAAGCTATGGCAATTTACACCAGCGGAGGATCTGCCCCCATGATTCTAAGGTCTTGTCTATATGAATATTTAGTTCACAGCAAGCCAGGGTGTAAATCTACCTCGCTCTAGCCTGCCATGGAATAAGTGTCCATGTGGACCCTGCTGCCATGCATTAAAATTCCATAATGTGCTTTGATCTACTCCAGGGATCGGCAACTTTTGGCACGCAGCTCGCCAGGGTAAGCACCCTGGTGGGCCGGGCCGGTTTGTTTACCTGCCGCATCCGCAGGTTCGGCTGATCGCGGCTCCCACAGGCTGCAGTTCGCCACTCCAGGCCAATGGGGGCAGCGCGCCTCGGCCCGAGCCACTTCCCGCAGCCCCCATTGGCCTGGCTCGGCGAACCGCAGCTAGTGGGAGCTGCAATCGGCCGAACCTGCAGACACAGCAGATAAACAAACTGTCCCGGTCTGCCAGGGTGCTTACCCTGGTGAGCCGCGTGCCAAAGGTTGCCGATCCCTGATCTACTCCCATTTTGAAGCAACATAATTTAAGTGCACTTCGGAACTTTCAGTGTGCAGCAGCAGGGTCCACACAGACACTTTAGTGCACAGCAGGCTAGTGTAGGGTAGATTTACACTCCAGCTTGCCAGGTGTTAAGTGTTTGTATGGACAGTCCCTATACATTGACATCTGTGGTCATCTAAACAAACCCAATATTCACAGGCACCTGCAACTTTCTAAATCGCTATATCTTTCTGATCCAACTCTAACTTGATATACAAAAATTACATAGAAATAATTCTAACTGTGATTAAAAAAGCAGTAAAAGCAAGAAAATTCAGTGAAAGCTGACACTCCCCTCTCAGTTATGGTTAACTTTTGCATGGATCAATTAATAGTGAGTGTCTGGTTGTTAGCATCTACAGTTGTACCCCAGAATTACCAATATCCAGAAAATTTTAAAATATCCCAAGTTAAGAGACATATTCCCAGCTGAAATATTCATTAAATCAGTAATTTAAAACCAAAAATCCTTACAAGAAAGATTTATAGTTAGCCAAATGAACCCCACTCACTTCATAGCTAAGCTGTGATACTCTTGCTCCTATCAAGTAGTACCTCTTATAGAGTAGACGTATTCATGGTGTAATGTACTATTCAACATAGGTAAGTGTATCACAATGTGGCCATTAGTATTACATTTAAGTAACCCAGCCATTTGAAAGCTTGTTTTGAGAGCCAAATAGATTCTACAACACTGTACTCTGTGGAGCAGATCTAACTGTGTTTCCGATATAATAGACTTTCCAATTTAATAATGG